GTAGGCGCTCTTACCACTGAGCCACAGAGGGAGTTTTTCAAAAAATTAAAGAGCTATAAAAATAACAAATACAGTAATATATAGTATCATTTATATCTTTTAAATGGTGTTTATCGCATATTTGAAGAAAAAGAAAATTCTATTTAAAATTTAGTCTTTATATTTCTTTTAATCTGCTCTTCTGTAAAATTTCAATTTTGTTAGTTAATACAGTTTAGCTCTGAGGTACAGATATACTAATGTAATTTTTGTTATTTATCACAATAATAATAGTTTACCTAATCAACTACGGAATAAGTATTTTAAGAAAATAAGTTTAATTAAACAAATAGTGTAAGTTTACTTTAATCGGTCATATTTGACTACATAAAAAGCATTCAAGAATTGCTTGACATACACAGATTACTTCTACTAGCTCACACATGATATCATTAGCTACATTACTACTTGCACAAGAAATCACAAACTAAACGCAAAAATTACTACGTTTTTCTTCAGGGCTCATAAACGTTATCCAGGTATGATTTGCCAGGTTAAATCCCCTCTTTTTGTTAGATGTAAAAAAGTGTCGGTCAATGCAGTACAAAGAAAAGAATATGTGCAAAAATATGCCTAAAAGGTGTTATAATGTAAAGCAAATATAAAAAGAATCGTAGGAAAAATTTAAGAAACATTTATATTATTGGTATGATTTTTTTTAGTTATTTTAATGTATTTCTTAATCTTTGACAGCAGTTCACGAAAGTAATATATTTACAGTAGAATCTGACTATACCCGGTACACTCCAACTGGGCCTCTTTTGCCTGTTCCTACACCTTACAGCGCATATGCGCACCGTCGTGTCAAAGTGTCTAACCTCAAAACTTTTTCTGTGCACGTGTTGCATTTACCTGCTCTTTCAAGTGAGAATATTGTAGTTAAAAACGTGAAGTACATGGAAATACAAGATAAACTAAACATTTTAAAGAAGTCCGATCATGGAGAAAACATGTGCAAATTGGCAAAAGGATTTGGAGTTATGCATGATACTCTAGACTCCCCCTCGACGAGGGAAAAAAACAACGTGAAGACGATGGAATCTGGACAAAGAAAGCGTAAAACATTAAGTGGTAGCGAATATCCAAAGATGGAAAATGTTCTCTACATGTGATTCATGTAAGAACGTTTCTAAACACATTCCTGTATCTGGACAATTTTTGAAAGCAAAAGCAATCAAATTTTATAAAAAAATTACAATTAAAGATTATTTTCGTGCCACTGTTGGGTGGATGGATAAATTTAAAAAGCGATTTGGTATCCGTCTGTTAACTATATCGTGTTAAAAATTGTCAAGCAACGGATTTGCAGTGCAACCATTTATCCATCATTTCACGGACCATCAACAAAGCATTCGAATCATCTAAATAAGCGAGCGAACCAGGTTGTAAAGGGACTAAGGATAGAATCACATTTATGCCGTGTTCAAATGTCACTGGAACACACAAATTAAATTTTTTAGTCATTGGTAACGATAAAAATTCCAGACCTTTCAAAAACATTTGTCTGTCAATCTGCTACAAGAACCAATTTAAAAGATTGGTATTTAAGTAAATGGTTCCATATCGCAGAAAGGAAGAAGTTTATGAAAAGATCTAACTTTTCGACTAATAAATAATTGAACAATATAAACTTTTGCATTCATCATACCATTCTTTTAATATAGGTTTTCTTTAAAAAATGTAATTAGTGACATGGTGACTCCAAAATGAACGTGTTATTTCTAGGTGCTTTAAAAAGCTCAGTGAACATTATTTACATTGATCCCGCCAAAAAATAATTAATTATTTTTTTAATTTTAATTTCGGCAAACTAAGCTGCACTTTTATATATTTAATAGATTTTAAAAATACTTTTTCTAATTTACCGCCACCCTACTTTTCAAGAACATCTAAGGGAACATTTTTTTTATACTTGTAACCAAAATGTGTCTTGAAATAATGAAAGGCACCTTCCAGCACTCGTAACCAAGTGCAGATACGGGAAAAATTAGTATGTAGTGTAAACTTTATGTAATTTGACTTAATACAACCGTCAGAAAAATGATACCATGTAATTTGTCTGTTGTGTCGGTGATATATGGAATCACTAATAGGTGAATTGTACTGCCATCATGGCATGTACAGTCCCTACTAAATTTATTAGACTAAATTAGCAAATTCTGGTATTCTGTGTTTTATAATCAATTATAATTATAACAATATTAGTAACTATAAGTTAAAAACATCACACAAATGATAGTAGTTAGTAATCTTTTTACATATTTATTAAATAAAAACAACGTAAATTATTACAATATTTTACTATAACATTAATATTTTGTTAAGCCACCCTAGGCTTTATACAGTGCAGCCACTCTTCTAGGCATGCTGTTTATGCATTTTCCTGCGATTTCTTTTAAATTTTCGGTGTGATTCTAATGGAAAAAGATTCTTTCTATTAACTGAACCTTGTTATTAATTATTTACTTGGCTAACTCTCTTTTTCGGCACACCCAGACATTTTCAATGGGGTTTATATCTGCTGAGTTATCGTGCCAGTGTCAAAGTGAAATTTCTTATTCTAACCAAAAATTTTTAATACTTTTAGCCGTATGGCAAGGTGCTCCATTCTGCACAGATATTTTATGGCTGTTACCAAACCATTCGTTGAGTTGTGGAACCAATCTTGTCAGCAAAACCCTTTTATATTGGTCTTGTCGCATGGTTCCTTCTAGAACATACAAACATCCCATACCTTCGCCACTAATCACCGCCCATATCATTAGTGAGGTGGGATGTTTCATTGTATTAATTACACACCTCTTTTCATATTTTCCCATGGACGACGTCGGACAAAATGGGTCTTGTCATCCATAATTTAAAATGTGGCTTTATCGCTGAAGTAAACCTGTGAATGTAAATAATAATTACAAAGTACGAAAATAAAATAATTCGTAATAATTTACCCTACGCCAAACATCAGTAGACCAGTCTTTATGGATCTTGGCCCAAGCTAAGCATTATTTCAGCATTTATGGTGTTCAGGCCTGCGACATTTGAAGCCCATGCCATACAAGTTTCGGCGTACAGTGGCCACCGATACTGCGCATCCTGCTTCTTCCAACTTATTTCTTAAATCCCTATGGGTGGCCGTTCTGTGTGTTACAGCAATTTTTTTAAATTCGTTGCGCACTGGGGGTGACTGAAGGTTTTTTATTACACCGACCCTCCCAAACTGACTTCACAGGTCGCTTCTCTTTGAGTTTTTCACTTAATCTTCTCACTAACGACTGGGATACACCACATTTTCGTGCTATCGCTCTCTGGCTAACTAATTCTCTAGTAGAGCAGTAATGGACCAGATTTTCTTAAGCCAAAAATCTTTAGATTTAACTATCTAAAAATTCAAATCCAAGATTAATTGTCTTGTTTTATGATTACAAATTAACCAAAATCAAAAGTTACACTATTATGTAAGCGTCAATACTTACTAGTGTAAATTTTAAATAAACTGACCGCAAATCTATGTTTTAATTAAAAAAACTCAAAATGAAAAACAATTAGTTACTCCACATTTTGAACACACTATATTGCCATCTGTAAATTTTTGACAATTGTAAGAAAAATTTATACAATTTTCTACGTAACTATGTACCCAATAATTATGCAACCCATTCAACAACCTTGTATCAAGTAAACATACTTTCAGTGCGATTAAAATAAAAAAATCTGCAATTTTTATGGTGAGTCTAATAAATTGAGCAGGGACTGTATTTGTTTTCTTAAAGGCAAATCACACGCTATGAATTTTTCTGACGGGTATTATTAATAAGTTGATTTTATGTAATTAAATAAAGTAGTCCCAGGAACGCAACTCAAAAATATTGACAATATCTTTTGATGTCATCTACTTTAAAATAGAATATATGTCAAGTCTCAAATAAAATTAAATTAACTTAACGAAGAATTTTTTAATCAAATAACAAAAACAAAATTTATTAAATTTATTGTTTATTATTTATGTAATATTTGGTGTTTTGAGAACTCTTTCCAGAATGAAAATCGAAACGTCAAAATAAACTTATTTTAAAGTAAAATGGTGGCTTATTCTTTGTAAAAACAGTAAAATATATGTATAAATAAATATATGTACAATAGAGATATAAGACAAAAACATAAACGAAGGCGACACAATAACAAAACTGGATTACTAAACAACAAAAAGATGAATAAAAGAAACTTACTTCATATTTTAAAAAATCACTTCCTACCATTAGCTGCTTAACGCGTTAATTTTTTTTACAATATAGTGTAATACTCTAGTTATGTATATTATTCAAATATGAGAAGTACAAAACACCCCAAAAATGAACAGGATACTGGTAAAAACGAACAAAGTGGATACACGACGATGACCACGCCAAAGAAAAAATAACCTGACTATTGGAAACTTAAATGTGTTAAATTCGCGCATGCCTGCAGCAACGACAAAGCCAATATAATAATGTGAAAGGTTTGATATGGATATCAAAGCTGATTGGTACCAGAAACCAAAAAGTGACAGAACATGATCAACGTATGGACAAAGATACGCAGTTTTGTGGATGACATCACTCAAGAACTACAACCTGAAAATAATAAGTGCAATTCATCCGAAACTTATAGGCAACAGGCCTGTCAAAGTGATAATAAATTTTGAATATCTGTACCATGTTTCAGGCAACAAATTTAAAAGGTGTCATAAAATAGGGATATTTTAAAATAAATTTATTTTAAGGTTTTATATTTCCAATATACATCAACTTCTACCGTACCAATAATGGATATATATTTTTCTGTCTACATAAGCAATATGCTCATAATATATTATAACACGTTTCAGTAAAAAGTATTACATTTTTATGAATTTCTGCAAAAAAATGTTTCCTAGATATCCTCTTATTCTAAAAGTTGGGAAGACTTTTTTTCATGTCTACTCATACCATTGCTATGTATTAGCAGTTTTTAAACAACAATACTTGTTTAAATAATAGTCTTCGTATATTCGTGAGCCCGTTGGAGTCTTAAAAAAATCAACGTAAATTGATTTCTTGCAGAGGAAGATGATAAAAATGGCGACACCTAGAAAGAGAACAGAAAGACGTACAAAACAATTTTGTAATAAATTGTATAAGAGAAGTTATAATAATATATATTTTAAAAAGTTAAACTCAGGTGATTATTTAAACAAAAAGTTAAACATTTATGATTTTACTGTCTGATATTTATTGATGAAGATGACAGATTCGATGGACCAAACATAATTGTATTTTTATGATACTAATTTATTTGTCTTATAATTTGTTATTATTCTTCGTTGATCATTTTACAAAAAAAGCAATGTATTCTTAGTGTTTTGTGTAAAACGTTCAAAAACAAAGTGTTCAAAACTCAAAATTAAATCTACAATTGTAAGACTAATTCAGCTAGCAGATTTCCAAAAAAAACTCATATTTGCGAAAACTTGATTTTATTTCCTATAACGCAAAATATATAATTAGATTATTTGAAATTAATCACCATTTATATATCTCAATATACTTAAAATAGTTTTTCGATTGAATTAATGAATTATTGAATTAAAATTGCGAGCGATCATCATGATATCTTCATTGATAATATATAGCTCGATTGTTATTTAATTTTTGAGTTCTTCGACGTTTTCAATCGCATGCTCAAAAACTGTGCTCTTAAGCATGCCCCAGATTAAGCAATCCAAAGGAGTAATATCTGGTGACTTTAAAGGCCACGATTCGTTTTCACCTCTACTAATCCATCCAGAACAAGGCTGGTTTAGAAAAGCGCTAACTTCCAGATCAAAACGCACAAGCACAACAAATACAAAAATAACGTTCTGCTACAAAATGATGTTCGATTCTTTGAATCTGTCATACTTCTCCAAAATTACACATAATTCTTGTAAAAGCTCCAAATAACTTTCGGAATTAACGAACCTATCGAAAAAAAAAAAGAATTCACTTTCTTTTGAGCATATTCACCCTATCATTAACCTTAAATAATTTACAATTATTCTACTTCGTCACACCACAAGGTTGTGGATGGAGAGAATGGTACCTTGACTTGATGAAATTCCTGCAGCACTGCTGAAGCTATTAGATGCAGAACAAATAAAAGTAATAACTGAAATATTTAAAGAAATAAAAAAGGCAGGAAAAATACTACTAGAGTGGCTCAAATCGTACCATTTCCCAAAAAACCAGGAGCAAAAGTTTGTGAAAACTATAGGACCATAGCCTAATGAACCATCTGCTGAAGCTGTTTTTAAAAGTTATCCACAAAAGAATTTACCGAAAATGCGAGGAACAAATTGCGCCCAATTAGTTTGGATTTGTGAACGCCGTTGGTACGAGGGAAGCTTTATTTAGCATGGAGGTATTGCTTTAGAAATGCAAAGATATCAGCTGTGATGTTTTTGCATGCCTGATTGACCACAAGAAGTCTTTCGATAGAGCCAGGCATGAAAAAATGATGGAAGTGCTGAAGAGGACGGGGATTGACGGAAGAGACCTAAAAATAATAGCTAACCTGAATTGGAATCAATCAGCGGTACTCCGAATAGATGGAAAATATACAGATCACGTCAAAATCTTAAGGGAAGTGAGACAGGGGTGCATAATTTCACCACTGATATTCAATCTGTACTCGGACAACATTTTTAAAAGGCGCTAAAAGATGATGAAGGCATCTTAATAAATGGAGTCAAGCTCAATAACCTGCAGTATGCAGATGATACAATAGTCTTTTCCAATACCATAGAAGGACTGCAAAACTTAATGAACAAAATAACGGAAACAAGTAGAACATATGGACTGGATATTAACACCAGCAAAACCAAGCTAATGATTATCAGCAAGGAAAACATAACTGGAGCAAATCTGTATGTGAACCAAATAAGAACTCAACGTGTTTCACAGTACAACTACTTGGGAACTATATTCAATAAGTCTTAAGACAATATCCAAGAGATTAAATGTCGCATCTGAAAGGAAAAAATGCATTTTTGACTATGAGCTCTGTGTTCAAGAGTCATGACCTCACCCTAGAAACAAAAATAAGGCTCCTTAAATGTTACGTGTACTCAGTGCTTCTGTACGGAGTAGAAACGTGGATATTGAAGGCGAAAACTCTATCAAAACTTTAGGATTTTAAGCTATGGATTTACAGAAGGATCCTAAAGATACCGTGAACAAAGTCACCAATGAAGAAGTACTACAAAAAAATGAACACAACTGCGGGTTTGGTCAATATCGTGAAGGGCCATAAACAGCACTACTTGGGACATATAATGAGAAATCAAAGCAGATATGAGCTACTTCAATGCATTTTGCAACATAAAATTAAAGGAAAAAGAGCCCCATTATGAAGAAAAATATCTTAGCTTGCTAATCTGAGAGCATGGTATAAAAAGACCTCAACACAGCTATTCCCTATAGTAAAAAACAAAGTCATCATAGCCAGAATGATCGGCAACGTTCGGAACGGATAGGCACCCTAAGAAGAAGGCACCCCAAGATTTTTCTTCTGAAAAAAGGAAGAGCTCTCTTGGTAAGGTACCACTTGCAGAAATCGATGCGAGGTTGGAAGTACTGCGGTTTCAGCTGCAGCAGCAAATGCGAACAGTAACTTTACGAATATAAAGCTTAAACAAATTTCCTTATACATGAACCATCAAAATTACCGAAGGCAAATAAATCGAAATATCTTGACAAAATCTTGACTCTGGAGACAAAGCTTAAATTGAAAGCGTGAAAAAGGAAAGGAATGATCTTGCTCTTAAATAAAGAAAATTAGAAGATAGAAAAATTTCTATTCTATCAACATATTATAACTAATTACAAAGAAATGGTACATCAAGAAATGCTGCACTGAATATAGTAGTAGGAAATATACTAAACACTCCTTGGTACAATAGAAATGAAGACATCCATAGAGACTTGAGCGTTGAAATGGTCAGTAAAGAGTTCAGAAGATTTGCAAGGAGCTTTGAAAAAAGGCTATAATCTCGCAATCGCCTGTCATGCAAACTAAAAGTAAGCCTTTATGTTTCGCATGAAATTAATAATTTGGAAAATCTTAAAACATTATCTTTTCTTAATCTTAGGTTAGAATAAAACTGCTTATTTATCTAACAAAATAGCAGAATGTAATAATATACAGCACAAGTAAAGGTGAAAAAAGATTCTTATTGTTTTATTATTAAATAAGATCTTTGGTATTGTTATACTTACGCAATTTTGCCATAATTTGGGAAGGATTTTGCACATACTAAAGCTGGCTTTATTTAATAAGGAATATGTGAAGTAAAGTACTCTATACATTTAATAAAATATAAACAAAAAATAGCTCAGGTGATAACTCTATCAAAGTTTACGTAAAGAAAATAAAAACGTAAAATGTTTGCTTTATTTTACCTATCAAAATAATCATCACATGTAAAACTTTAAACTAAAAAATGTGTTTTCCCTGCTATGAGTCTTTGGAAAACAGCCAAATATGTTTTTAAAGAATCCTACTATTATTACGAGTATACTAACTGTCATTCCGTCAATTGTATAAATATCAAACAAAAAGTATGACATAGATTTAATTTAAAAAATTCGTTGGAATAACTTCTCTCTTAAAATTTATCATAGCCAATTAATTGTAAATTTATAAAGTATTTTAAACAGCCATAATCCAAACTAAGAACTTCACAATAAGACATGATACTGTGACTAAAACTAAAACTATAACAATAAACCACACTCTCAAAATTACAAAATAGTGGAACATAAAGCTGAAATTTATGTACAAAGGAAGAAAGGTATTATCTACAAGCAAAAAGTGACTTGGTTTTCTTTTTCTATATTTTCAAGTGTTCTTTAAATATATATTTAACATATTAGGAGAAAGCACAAAACCCTGCTGTACTCCCTTCTTTGTGGGTATGTCACGTGTTAGATACTGACCCGTGACAGATAGTTTATTTCCACTATTAAATCTCATAAGTGTTTCTACCAGTTTTTTGTGTTTTACTGGAACAAAAATGTCTTTTTATAAGCTTTTTCCGTAGATTTGGTAGTTGATTAACTCATTCCATTCCTTTTCCGTTCTGTTACTTATGTATTTATGTCTTCTAGAATACATAGCCTTCTTATGTTCTTTCTTCTCTCTTTATTCGGTAGGCTCTTCTCTGATATTCTTCGGAGTATTCACTATCGTTTCATTTTGGATGTGTCGGGTACGTCTCCACCGGATATGGTATTGTAGGTCTAATTGCTGTTTTATTTTCTATATGTAGATACTATAGATCCTTGCTTTTGCATAGATATTGTCTTAGATGCTTGTTCTTGTAGAAAGTATCATTGAGGGATCCCGTCGCTTTATTTGATCTCAAGACTTGTCAAACAACTTCGTCAATATCTCCATAAGCTTGTTGTATTGAAAATGTGCGTTTATCTTTGTAATATAGCACCGCCTGCGTAGCATATTAGTTGAATCTCTCTGTTCCCTATTCTTTACGCATGACCTTGACGTACTACGTGTATGATTTCGTCCATTATTCCATTAAATAGCAGAAGGCTTAACTAATCACCCTGCCTGACTCCACTAGTAATGGTATAGGCTGTGTTAGTATTCAATTTCACTTTGCCTAGTACAGTATTGTGCAAATTAATGAAATCATTCTGACATTGTGACAATACTCACAGTTGCCAGCATTGTCCACACATTTACAACTGACCAAGCATAGAAAACATAACCTTACTTTTCTTTGCCTTTTATTTGAGGGTGTTTTAGGACATTTCCGACTAAGTTTGTGTTGTTTTTGGTAAGTAGTAGGTTTGTTTTGTTTAATTCTATCGTGGATATTATTCTTAGGAAGCGTGAATAAATTATCATGTTAAATGATGTCACAAAGAGAAATCGCAAGAACATGTGGAGTGAGTCAGGAAGTAGTAGTAAGATTTTGAAACGTAAACGAGAAACGGGATTAGTGGATATAAAAAGGTTAGAAAAATGCGGAAGAAAGAGAAAAATAACACCAGCAGATGAAAGATTTTTACTTCGAAAGAGCAAATTCGATCCAAGAAAAACAAGCAAATAACTCCAAGAAGATCTAAGCAGCATCAGGTGAAGTGGTTCATGACACAACTGTTCGGAAAATACTTTTGGAGAATGATAGAAGGACAATGCGTCCACAGAAAAAATAGCTTCTAACTGAACGAACGAATAAACAAAGGTTATTGTGGGCCGAAAAGTCCTATTTACAGATAAAACTCACTTAATAGTTTAGGGACAGCGGTCGATATACGTCAGAAAGTCTGATAATGAAAACCTTACACCATCTCATATTGATCAAACCGTAAAACATCCAGTCAAATGTTTTGGGGATATTTTTCATACATGCGGGTTGGATCCTTGGTACCAATCAAAGACAAGATAAATAGCCAAAAATACAAATCCATGTCGGAACAGCGTTTGGACACAGAACTTTAAAAATGTCAGCCCCAATGAGAAGTGATTCTTTAACAGGACTCTGCTCCCTGTCACAAGTCAAAGCAAATGCTGAATTTTTCGAAAATAAGGTTAATGTTTTAGATTGGCATAGTAATTCGCCATCGAATATTTATGGGCCATTTTAGTATTGACCTTTACAGTTTAGTCAAAATATAATTTTTTTCTCAATAAACTGTTTTTCATTAAAACAGCCTATGATTCTATTAATTCGCACAGTACTGTAATAATGAAATTAAAAAATTCACGATTCAAAATAATGGATAGTTTTTCCAAAATACACGTGAAAATAAGAGTAATTTGGATGCTTTGGGTAATCTAAATACTTTAAAATAGTCTCCAGTAGATATATCGATATCTTATTTGCAATGTACGTTTGACCGATAAAGATTCTCGCATATTAGTCGATTTTTTTAACTTTGGGGTTCCAGGCGTTTTGACATTCTAAGCAATTTTTTTTAAATCTTCACGATTCTTGGAGATGAAGAAAGACTTCTTTATAGAATTCTATCTATACTCCCCTTCTAAATCATCGTCTTTTCTTTCTTTTTTTGCCAAATATTGTGAAGTTTATGCTACTACTCCATACATAATTTGCCATATATTCGCCACTAAAGCAAATATTTATCCTATAAACTAATCGTGAACAATTTTCTTATATCTGATAATTTCTGAGTTATGTGCAGTAAAATGTTTCAATTCGTCAGTATATTGTACACTGGATCAATAAACTACTCTGTTTTAATAAATAAGGTATGACAAAGTTATTTTAAGATATATACTCATATCATAATAATTTATATAATTGATATAAATAGTACACGCCTTTAGTCTTCTTAAAACTATACAACTGAGAATTCTATGTTACCTCATGCTTTATAATTTATGTAAATAATTTGTTATTATAAAAAATTACTCTTGCTTGTAGATATAAACATAGTATACGAGTATTGTTTTTACAGATATGCTATTTGATTTAAATACCTTGTAGACAATTGATACAGTCAATAACTATTTCGAAATTTCTCCAGAAGGGCCCTGCACTGTTCAAGTCGACAAATCCAGACACTGTGTCAACAATGAATGTTATTCCCATAATAACTGCTAGTTTTATTATTAAAAATAACCTACAAGTAAAAAAATAGTATCAAGTACATATTATATGTGAATCACATGCATTCGATTATGAAAAATATTAGAAAATACAGGATAATGAAGAAGGTTACAGTGTATATCTGCTAAATGGGGATTAAGTTTTAAATTCCATTACTCTCTTTAACCTTTTCATTACTGTGGGGACATATATGTATAAATTGATGTTAACTAAACACATGCATCAACAACTCATAAATAATACAATTTTAGTAAAGAAAAATTGCCTCCTCTATTTTTTAACTGATTATATATAATTTAGTTGCTGATTAACACAGGTTAGTGATAATTATATATTGATTATTTTTGATATTGTTTTCATCGATTTTACCATAATTTCTAAACGGGACTCTAGTGTCCCAGTAGTAGTTTATACCGGGTCGAATTTATCCCATTCCCGAAAATTAATCCGAGGAAGAACCTTATCCTACCTCAGAGTCTTATTATGTACCTGGTGATGATTCTGCCTCAGATTCTGATGAAGTACCTGAGAGTACTCCTGGCCCTACAAGAAATTTTGACCCAGTGAAATGGGATAAAAATACTAAATATTGATAGAGGTTCTCGTCCTGTTGATATTTTTTAAAATTATTTAGTTTATTTATGCATATTGCTTCCTGTACAAACCAAAGAATGTGAGCACTTCCAAAAAACAGAAATATAAAATTAAATACAAAAAAACAGATACAGTGGTTTTTTGATTGAACCAATTTTTGGCAAAGGTGAGGACTGAGCGTTCCCATCAGTCCATCGACTAATCAATGAATAAGTTCAAAGGAAGATCTGCCCTGAAACAGTATCTTCCTATGAAGCCAGTACAAAGGGGTGGCAGCGAAATAAAGTTGGCCAGTAAAAAGAAATCTGGCAACAAAGTGATTCTTTCACAGGATATAAATAATATTTCAATATTTACTAGGGAAAATAATCTACAACAACTACTGAAACTCTTGTAGAACGAGCTGTTGAAACACTAGCCAACACCATACGGTCCCCAGTGTGTCTATGCTATGATAGATTTTTCACATCGTTCAACCTACTAAACACCCTAAATGTCCCATGTTTAGAAACATATATGATCAACAAAAGAGAAAAATAGAAGTAAATGATAGTTAACTATAGACTTAATAATAAAGTAAATGAAGTAAAATTAAAAAAAAATTTTCCATAGCTAATGTTAAAGTGTTGCTATAACAACTATTTTGAGTAGATAAAGTATCACATTTATTGAAAAAGTAATTCATATCCCTAGCAACGGAGCAACACAATTGCGATTTTTGTGCTAAAAATTACAATTTTCTTTGAAATTTTATTTTTCACCTGAACTTGAAGTCTCGCTATAGAAAAAAATGTTGTATTGCACACGAAGATAAAATCGCATTATCTTCTCGAGCATAAGTAGCGTCAAGACTGACGTCTTCACGCTAAAAAACGCTCTCGAAGATAAAGTACAATTTTATCGTCTTGTACAATAAATAACTATTACTTACTTTTCTTTATCTCGGTTAAATTTAACTTTCTTTTCATTTTTCGTATCATTTATCCGTTCTATTTCATTTTTTATCCGTAAACAGTATAAAATGGTCTTCAGAAACAGATAGGCGTTGAGTATTTGAATCAGTAGATGTGGCAGACGGAAAAATACAAATGGGGCGTAATTTCCAGGTCCTAAAAATAATAAAAATAAACTTTTCTAATATTAACTTTACTAAGGTTTATGTACAAAGTAGCGAAGAAAAATATTATGAAGGCCGCCCAATAGGCATTAGGAATGAGAGTAATAAATATAAATTAAAGTGTACAACAAAATAACAGGGTTTACAGCAGATATTAAAAAAACAGAAAATAAGAAGGCTTTCCTAAAATATAAATCAATCAAAACTGTACAATCTTACCAGAAATACAAATCGTAACAATTATTTGAAACTCATTAATTAATTAAGAAAAGAAAAACTGACTACTGAAAAAAAATCATGAAAGAGCAGACGATAGATTTTTCTGGACTACAGAAAGAAGTATGTAGCTTCAAAAGACAACTCCTTCTTCTTATGGTGCCGTGCATTTCTGCGTACATTGCATTTCATAACTGCAGATTCCTGTCCATTAAAAAATTCTACGCACACATCTTTTTGTGTCTTAGACCTTCGTATCCTCTATCTTTCCGTCTATGTCGTCTTCTTATTTTTTATATAATCAAAAAGTTCTCTAACCTGGAGTTAGAGAACTCTTCTCTACTTCATACTTCCTTATATTTGACTCTGTTCTTCCATGATAATCTAACCATTCGGCATAGGCACCACATTTCAAAAACTTCAAGGTTGTTAATGAATCTGGTCTTTAACGTCCATGCTTATATTTCATACAAGAGACAAGGCTAAACGTAACACTATAGCATCTAGTATCCTAGGTTGAAATTCCACTTGCGATAAGTTAGGAATTTACAATGTTTTAGAAAAGTATTTCTGGCTTGTTCTACTCTGGTCTTTATTTCGGTCTCAGGGTCACAACTAACGTTTAACAGATAACGTAAGTATTGAAAATACCTGACTTACTCGATTTATTTCCTAAATACATATATCATTGCCTTTTGGTAATTATTTCTACCTATAATCATGGTTTTGTCTTTTTGATATTTATTTTCAAACCTAAACTTTCACTTGCAAGAGTTAGATCATGTAAAAGACATTAAAGATCGTAAATGTGGTTAATAATTATACCGTTAACTTTAATATCCTTATGATAATTCATATGCTTCTGAGAATGCTTTTTCTGCGCATAAGTTAAACAACATTGAAGAAAGTATACAACCTTAACTACTCCCTTTTTTATTTAGAAATCTTCCGTTTCAGTGAAATTTTAAAGACATACTGTTGATGTCTGTTTCCAATACAGAGTGGCGATAACCCCTGCCAACTGTATTTTTTTTTGTGCTGTTTTATACAGGGTTACGCAATTGAACTGTTACCAACTTCACATCGATATATCTGTCAAATCGATAATGACAGCTACGTCAAAGTTAGCCTGATAACACTTCAGTATATTGTTTATAAGCCGTCAAAAGCATTTGCAAGTTTTATACATACAACAAAAGTTATTCGCAATGAAATTTAAACGTAATAGTGTGATTGCGTTATATTTGGCTGGAAAATCACAACCAGCTATTGTTCGTCAGCTCAAACACCTCAAAGTGAATAAAATGTTTGTGTATCGCACCATAACTCGCTATAATGATACTGGTAGCATGGCCAAACGCTATGGTGGTGGACTAAAAAAAAACAGTAACATCAACTGAAAATATCCCCGCGAAGCATGCAACGAATATTGAAAAATGAGCTCAAGGTCAAGCCTTACAAGTTCCAAAAAGCCCACAATCTTACACCAAAGCAAAAAAAAAGTTCGGCTTGAAAGAGCAAAGGAGTTATTACTCCTGCATGAACGTGGCGAATTTCCGAACATAGTGTCACCCGAAGTAATTTTCTATCTCAAGTACTGGGATGGGCAGCTGTAATCGCCGATGGATGCTCTCCAATCGTTTTTATTGAATCTGGTGTCAAAGTCAATGCAACTTATTATCGGGAAAATGTTTTAGAAGCTGATTTACAGCCATGGGCAAGCAAAAATTTCGGTTGTAGACCATGGACATTCCAACAAGACTCGACACCGTCTCATAAAGCTAGTGTGAACCAAGAATGGTTAAAAAACCATGTTCCACACTTCATTTCATCCACATAATGGCTTTTGAATTCGCCAGACGCAAATCCGATGGACTATTCCATCTGGTGCATTTTGGAGAATAAGGTGAGGACTAAAAAATATGCCAGTATGGATGCGCTGAAGAAATCAATTATACGTGAATGGGCCAAAATACCGGAAAATCACATTTGTGCAGCATGCAACTCGTTTTTTGGTCGTTTGAAGGCCATAGTCAAGGCAAAAGGTGGCAACATCGAGCTTAAGTGAGTATATTCTGAAATTTGGATTATTTTCACAAATTTTTGTCATTTTAATCAATAAAAAATAATTTCACACAAAAAAATTATGGTCGTTTGAATAGGTAACAGTTCAATTGCGTAACCCTGTATATACTTATGATCTATACTATTTCTATATATCTATGAAAAAATTCGTCTACTTACTATATACTATAAAGCAAGCGCTGGTTCCAACATATGGCCGTATGGAGTCTGGCAGAGAATCGATAATACTAAAGATGTAAATAAGAAGAGTTAGAAGCAGTGGCATGCCCCACCCATACGTCATATAAATTATCAGTTTCTTTAATTCTGTTCTTCTTTGGTAAACACCAATAGAATGTTTTGTAGATCTAAAAATAAAAAATAAATGTAAAATATTAAATAATAATTAAAAAAGAAGTATCCATACCACAACAAATACGTTCTCCTTAATTTACTATTTGTATATAAATATAAAATATATATAATATAAAAATCAGTACTTCAAAACTAAGAATAGCACAAATAAGGATGAAGCGTTCAATGGTAGGAATAACAATAAAAGACAAGACCACGAACGAAGGCCTCCGAAATAGAACCCCAATTACAGATGTTGTAAAGAGAGCTTGCAGATTGAAATAGAGATGGGCTGACCACATAGCAAGCATTAAGGATGGAAGATGGACATGCAAGTTAACCGAATAGAGACCAAAAACAAATAATCGAAACACAGGAAGACCAACTACACGATGGCAAGATCATCTGCGAAAAATGACAAAAAATTGGATCCATAAACAGGGAAAGCCCATATCCTGCAGTGGATTATAACGGTCTGATAATGACACAATATAATCAGTATAAATTAAGCACCAGGAAATGTTACCCTGTAGTTTTCTTGTTATCAAATCCAACACTAATGAAAAAATAAGGAATAAGCACTGACCCCTAATGTAACTATGCTAACACTAGTTACTCTCTGATACATGTCCCATAAAATTCCACATACTTTCCGGGAACACCTTTCTTCATATGGCAAGGCATAACAGCTGTTTAATATTTAGCATAATAAGTTGCTATTTCTACTCCAAGATTTATTTAGCAGAGCAATATGTGTCTGAATCTATGAATTTTTTTTTGGCCGAAAATTGCTGCATTAGCTATTATAGTTTCCTTCTTCTTAACGTGCCCTATCAAGTCCCCTTGACGTTGGCGATTAACATGGCGAAACTGTCTCTGTCTCAAGCTATTCTAAATAGTTGCTAAGCTTTCTTTATTCCTGTCCACTCCCTGATATTCTTCAACCAAGAGGCCTGCTTTCTACCAATTCCTCTGCGTCCTTCGATTTTTCCCATCATAATAAGTTGAAGAATATTATATCGGTCTCCCCTTACTACGTGTCTAAAACAGGCCATCTTTCTACATTTGATGTTATCAAGCAGCTCGCGAGCAGCATTTGCTGTCTCAAGGACTGCCACATTTGTCAGCATAGCCGTCCATGGAATTTTTAGTATACGTCTGTGCAGCCACATTTCAAAGGCCTCCAGACGATTAATGGTGGATATTTTTAATGTCCATGCTTCGACAACGTATAAGAGGAATGACCAAATGTAGCATTTAACCATGCGCTTTCGAAGTTAAAGTTGCAAGTTATCATTACAGAAGAATGACCTCATTTTTAAAAATGTCGTGCGGGCTATCTTGATTCTATATTTTATCTATTGATCTGGATCTAGTTATTGAGTAATATGGCAACCAAGATATTTCAAACTGGACACTCTTTAAATTATACGACTATCAACATATAATCGTGCATCTTGATGTGCTAAACGGCTAAACACCATGTGTTTTGTTTTTGCACAGTTTATGTTTAGGCCAAACTCTCTACCACTTTATCAATGACATTTAAAAGGCATTGTAATCCATTCATGTCATCACTTAAAATAACTGTATCGTCTGCATATCTGATTGTATTTATCAGAATTCCATTAACTTTCACGCCCCATTTCAAATTATGCAGCGCGTCTTTAAATATTCTATCTGAATATAAATTAAATAACAGTGGGGATAGTATACAATCCTGTCTGACAGCTCTTTGTATTTTACATATTTCTGTTGATTTTCCGTTTATGCAAGCTGTCGCTGTTTGACGCCAATATAACTTTTCTATGAATCGTATGTCTTGACTATCAACTCCTTTATCTTTTAATATTGTAATTAATTTGTGATGCTGTACTCAATCAAAAGCCTTTTCATAGTCAATAAATACAGCAAAGACGTCTTTCCTTTGATCTCGACATTTCTGCAGTAATACATTTAGTGCAAAGAGGGCGTCCCGAGTTCCCAGTCCATTTCTGAAGCCAAATTGTGTTTCATCCTGATCTTCTTCACATTTACCTCTGATTCTACTGTGGATGATGCGTAGTTTTATCAAAATCGCTACAGTTTTTGGGACGTTGTTTTTTTGGTAGTGTTATCAATTCGGACTTTAACCAATCTTCAGGGATATCACCAGTCGAATAAACATCATTGAAAAGTTTGACCAGTTTCCAATGTTCTCCTTATTTATAAGCTTTAACATCTCTGTCGGTATGTTATCAGGGCCAACGGCTTTCTTGTTCTTTGCTAACTTTATAGGATGCAGTATTTCTGATTTTAGTATTTCTGGTCCTTCACTTTCAACTAAAGTCTCCGGTTCTTCGGGTCTATCATCATTATACAATTCGCTTATATAATTACACCAGGTTGTTCGAATTTAATGTTCGTCTATTATCATTTTTCCCGACGAATCGGTTATAGTATTTGGAGTTTTCTTATGATAAAGACCAGCTACTTCTCTAACTGTTTTAAACATATTACACGTATCATGTTTTTCATTCAACTTTTCTAATTCCTTGCATTTATCCTCCATCCATTTTTCTTTAGCCACCTTTATTTTTTGTTTAATGAGTTTCTGTTTTTCCTTATATTCTGTCTTGTTACCTTTCAGTTTCCTTCTCTGCTCCATTAATTCCAGGATTTCATCAGTCATCCATTGTTGGTTTTTGTGCCTGTGTAACATTGTTGAATATTTTTCTATTACTTTCAAGGTAAGATCTTTAAATGTGTTCCATATTTCTGTGTTGTTTTAATTTATTGATTTCTTTAGCTCATTGTTTAAGTCATTTTCTATTAACGTTTTGTTGGATATTGAGATATTTAATTTTGGTGTTTTGGGGTTTTCTTGGACTTTTTTGAGCTTCACTTTGATGTCAGTTATTACAGGGTTATGGTCTGAACCGATATCTGCACCAGGATATGTCGTTACTCTGGTGACGCCATTCTTAAATCTCTTGTTTACCAGAATATAGTCTATCTGATTTCTAATTATATGTTTATCAATATATTATAGTTTCCACAATGCCTATACTATTTTTATAAAATATTCTTTTTTCCAAAAAAAAAAAAAATTAAATAAATATAAGTTTATTATAAATTATGGCACACTGACGAAGTTTTCATTGCGCAAATATTTAAATTGGCTATACACCACATTACGTAAAATATTTTTTCTGTGAGAAAATTCTGTTTTATGTATTGTTTATATTTTCAAAAATAAACATTTCACATATTTATGGTTTGGGTCTGGATTAAAAAAGATTTATGTGTTAAAAATATTTTAAGAATAAAGGAAAGATAGGTTGATAATTATAACGAGTCTATTTTTTTATATATTATCTAAAAAAAATGCTAGAAAAAAATAATTTTTGCATTCCATGATTTCATTAAATTCATCAACAATTATTGTTAGCACAAATAAATAACTTTTCTATCAATTCAAGTACGACTGAGTTATCCTGATACCGATTGTTATATTTTTAAGTTGTTTTAAGTTTTTAAGTTTAAGATTTAAGACTTAAGATTTTAAGTTATTAGGGAGTTTTTGTAACTACCTGACGTAACGTATCTCCTTATATGTAAAGAACTAACGTATCGAAGAAGATGAAGGTTATATTGAGAGTTAAAGTTCTGCAGGTAATGTAACGATGGTGTTGCTCTTATCGAATTAGTGACAAACTAATAAGTTGTCAGTGCCAGTCTTGTCCTTGTTACTTAACCCTATTTTTGATATTCAAAATAAATAACAAATATTTTTTTGAACAATTTTTAATTTTGAAAATGGACGCAATATTAAATGTAGGTGTTTTTATTGATGATGAAGAAGACGAGGACATAGAAAATGGGCTTCTTCTGCACATCTTGCACGACTGTACGGCCGCTTTAATTTAGATACCATGTCTGATATACAAAGTAAAAATCTTTTTCGTTTTTGGATAAAATTTCACCGTTCTGAATGATCGTAAGGGTTCTGGCCTACGACTTCCTTCAACAAAAACAAAACATCTTCATTGCTGAAATGAAGTCGTTTTCTACTGCTACCACAAATGCGAAAAAACACGTGCCACGTTTGCTGATGAAATGTGGATGTTGAATGTTGATATTTTGGTAATCGGGGAAGCGAATCCCCTTGTGTATTTGGTTACTTGCGGCTCGATATTTATGCGTATGAACGTAACGTTCGAATAAATATCGAGGTTAATCAGGATAACCAGATAGTGCTGGGTGAAAAGGAGAAAATTGATATATGGGAAAATTATATCCAGGAGCTCTTCCATGACGAAAGACCCATGAGTAAAGTTTATACAGACGACCAGCTGACTGGCCCTTCAATCACCAAAGAGGAGATAGAAAAAGCAATATTAAATTCAAAATGAAAGGGGAATTTCAGCACTACACAAAATATTTAATTTAATTTATGAAACTGGCTGCTATCCTCAACAGTGGTTACGCTCTACCTTTATTCCCCTGCCCAAGAAAGTCAATGGAAAAAGATGTGAGGATCACAGACTCGTTATCCTGATGAGTCACACTTTAAAGATATTCTTAAAAATACTACATCAAAGATTATACAAAAAATGTGAATGGAACATCAGTGATTCCCAGTTCGGGTTTAGGCAAGGTTTAGGAACACGAGAAGCAATAGTAGCAACACAGGTGCTGGTCCAAAATTGTTACGATCAGAGGAAGGATGTGTTCCTATGCTTTTTAGATTACCAAAAAGCGTTTGATCGTGTCCAACACCACAAGTTAATGCAGATTCTCAAGAAAGTTGATATAGACCAAAAAGACATAAGATGCATTGAAAACTTGTACTGGCATCAAACGGCACAGCTAAAAATAGACAATTCTATATCCAAGCCCATACATATAAGAAGAGGCGTTCGACAGGGATGTGTGCTTTCCCCTCTTTTATTTAACATTTATTCGGAAGCCATATTTCAAGAGTCTTTGGAGGATGCAGAGATGGGAATCAAGGTGAATGGAGTATTGATCA